GTATGGGGCTTTGCCATCAAAGACAATGGAAAGGGCTATGCTGTGATGTCCAACCTGGAACCTAAATGATGTGCCTGGGATTGCAGTGTGTGTGTGTGTATGTGTGTGTGTGTGTGTGTGTGTGTTTGCAGGTGCATGAGTATGTATAGGCATGTGTACATATGTGCATGTGTTTGTGGAAGATAGAGAACAACCCCAGCTGCAGTCCCCCATAAACCATTCTGTTTTGTGAGACAGGGTCTCTAACTTTTACCTGGAACTCACCAATTTGGCTAGGCTGGCTAGCTAGTGAACCCCATGGATTCACAATCTTTGCCTCTCTAAAGCTGAAATTACAAGTGGTACCACCATGCTCAACTACTTTTTTAAGCACAGGAACTGGGCTTTGAACACGTGAACCATCTCCCAGTTCCCCAACCTGCATTCTTTTAAGTCAACTGATCCTAACTTTCAGTTCCAACCTTCCAATGAGACACATGGGCTAGAAAGGATGGGTGATATAACCCATCACAAAGGCAGGTGTGGCCCAGTGAACCCTTCATCCACAGCCTTTGCAGGCAGCACAGTTTTCAAAGAGTAGCATAGAAGGAAAAAGCCAAACAACCAAAGACTTGTCAAGCCTCATACTGCAGACACTGAGACCGGGGAGTGATGTTATTGGAAAAGGATTGAAGCTTGAACTGGACTCCCATGAACACCTTGGCCGTTGTTTTTTGTTTTGTTTTGTTTTATTTTATTTTTTGCTATTTGAAAACACAGGTTGAGTATAGAACACTGTACTTCTCTGTAACAAAATTACAAGCAGCATGTCTCCTGTTTATGAATTGACATCTGCTAAGTTCATCCCACATAGTCCTGGGCCCTGCTGACCACAGACCAGGCTCTGGGCAATACATGTTCTTCCAGAGACCACAGTCCTCAGACAGACACCTCACCAAAGAGCAGCCAGGCATTTTTTACTCAGGCACCTAAGAAAACCAGATAATATTAGGCTCAACCCGGCTTAGACAGAGGCTTATTTCTTTTAAAAACAGAGAAGGAGACAGACAAAATTCCTGCCCGGATCTGTTAGCCATGGCCTTGTGGCCAAATCCCAGGAATCCTGCCCTGGCTGGGAAGACCAAGACCTCAGCACTTCTGAGCAAGAGGGATTTGGGCCAGATACTCCACCTCACATTCCTGGTCCCAGAATGGCAGCACAATGTGTCAGAGGGAACTGGCCCTCCAGGGCATTCTGAGTCTATGGAAAGAAGCTAAGGGATCTGGAGGTTTCTTTCTTTCTTTTCTGTTTTTATTATTATTACATAGAGTTTTAATAATTCAGTAGTTGGGCTGGGGATATAGGGATATGAACTTGCAAAGTTTGATGCCAATGAGAGACCCCATCTCAAAGAAAGGTGGATGGTGCCTAGGAAAGGAAACAGATTGTCTTGTGACCTACGCACACACACACACACACACACAACACATACACAACACACACACTACACACACACACACACAACACATACACACACAAGTGAGACTAGAACCTGGCATCTAGTGAGAATCCTGAAAATACTCATAAAAATAACATTTCCGTAGTTATAAAAGGAACTCTCACTGAAAACAAATTTTGAAAACACTAACGAGTAAGGAGATACAGTGAATTCATCTGCCATTGCAATTTGTAGGCATGATACCTTATTAAAATGTGTCCAGGATCATTCTATCTATAAACCAAGTGTGCCTGTAAACATATCCTAAATAAGATCTTTTTTATTCACGAGGAGGTGGAACTGTGTTCCAATTTGCACATAACTTTTTTACACAGTCTCCCATACACTGCAAATTATCTCCATATGAATGCTAGGAAGATATCACATTGTATCATTTAGAGAATAACAAAAAATGATATATGCATTATACATATATGTTCAGTACAGATGTAAAAGGCTTTTTTTCAAAATTTTTATATTTTCATGATATATGTATGTGTGAGCGTGTTGGCATGTGTACCACAGTGCATGTGTGGAGGACAGAGGACAATCTCAAGTGTTGGTTCTTTCTTTCTACTCTATTGAAACAATGTCTCTTTTTTGTTTGTTTTACATTTATTGTGTGTGTGTGTGTGTGTGTGTGTGTGTGAGTGTGCGCGTGCGCCTGCATTCACACAGTATGCATATGGAGGTCAGAGGACATCTCAGGGAAGTTTGCTCTCTCATTCCACGTGGGCTCCAGGTATGGAGTTCAGGTTGGCACACTTGGCATCTAGCAGCTTTACTCACTGAATCATCTCACCAGCCCTCGTTCACTGCTACACATGCCAGGCTTGCTGGCTCAGGAGCTTCCAGGGATTCTCCTGTCTCCACACGCTATCTTCCTTCGGTATTACAAATGCATGCTACTGTGCCCAGCTTCATGTGGGTTCTAGGGATTCAAACACTCAGGCGCTCCGGCTTGTTCAGAAATCCTCTGTCTGCTGAGCCATCTCCTGAGCCCTCCAATACTTATGATCTGGAGTAGCTCAATACACAAAGGCAGGGCCAGTAGGTGAAGTTTTTTCATTTCACAATGTTTTATATTAGTAAATAGTCATCAGTTCCTTCTTCTCATGGTTGCAGTAATGTTTCATCACGCTACAAGTACCTCCTCGGTGAGTGTTCTTCTCCGTAATTATTAACTCCCTTAGGTGCAATTCACCCATCTCCCCTCCAGCAAGGAGGGACGGATGAGATCTCTTCTGAGCTCCCAATACCTACATGGTTGATCCTCCCTGTTTGTGGATGCCATGTTTGCAAATTCATTTACTCCCTATAATTAATTTGCAACCTTAAAATCAAGACGTCTCACGCTTAGGAGCACTCAATCGCAAAGCCATGAGAATTCTGGGCTACCAACACTTACACAGCCAGCAGAGGCTGAGTGAGGTGACTCCTGACTGGTGACACACTCTTGCTGCAGCTTCCACACTGCCCACAGGAATCCTTTCACATTCTAGCTAGCCATATACTTTCTCTGGCAAATCCCCCATTGGGAATGCCTGCCTCCACCACCACACCCCCCACCCTTTCCTGAACTGCTGAAGGGCTTTCTAATGCTCCTAGGCACAACAAGGTTCTGATGTGACTTACAGAATAACCACATGTGTTAGATGAGCCTTATTCAGACACGCGTTATAGCACCGTCGCCTTGAGTTCAGTGTCAACGAAACAGTACATATTAAATAAGGCGCCTCTCAACAGAGGTGTGGATAAGCAGACCTGTGTGGTCATCAGTGGACAGAAATGCTCACAGTAGAGGTGCACAGGAACCCTGGTCCCACACTCCTGCTAGGAGCACTGCCCTAGCAAAAGCTCTCAGAACGACTCTATTCAACGTAACTGCACCATCATGGGAGTCGGTCCCAGGACCGAGACTGTCTCTGTAAGCGTTCCTTGCTCCCAAGTTTGGGTCAGTGAGATGGACAGAGAATGAACCTTTTACTTTCTCTCTCTTCCTAATCCACCCAAAGTCAGACACCATAACCAAGATTCTCTACCGGCCAGCTAGAGTTCAAAGCCCCTATAGCAACTGCTCTTTGCCACCCAGTCTCTCAATAGGACTGGCTTTCTTTGGGGAGATTTCCTGTTTCCTTCATTTGCTGCTTATAAAAGTGTTTTGGTTTGATATTAGTTTTCAGAATAGAGCCACTGAGTAAATAACTACAATATGCAGCAAACAAAAGCCTTGCTTCTTTAATTTTTCCTTGCTCTGAACTTACAGATGAGTACACTCACACACTCATGGTTGTAGATTCATCTCAGGATAAATGTCAAGTGTCTGCTCAGCTCATAGACACTGAAATCACCAACAGATCCCAGAATAAACAATAATTACAAATATCAAGTATCTATTGCGTCAAAGGAAACACCATTCTCCAGCTATTGAGAGTCTATTTAGACCTAGGGAGCCTATTTTCCCTAAAGCAGGAAAGAAAAGGAAGAAATTCCTTCCTCAGTGAGGCAGAGACTCACAGCTGGACCACACAAAGGATGTTCTGCAAAATGGGACACCCAGCCTGCCTGCATGAAAACACTGCCCTCTCCAGCTTGTGGCCAATGTGGCCCTTCTTAACAATCAGGCCAAGCAGAGCTAACTGTAGTAACCAACCCACCCTGAAACCTTGGGACCTCCACAGCTTATTCTACACCCATTGTGAGTTGGTCATGGCTGCAAGGCAGCCTGCGCTCTATCATCTACATAGTCACTTAAGGAAAGTTGGAGGGTAGTAATGGCTCCTGCATCTTAGAACTGAATTCTCTGGAATGTATGGCTTCCATGATTGCCAGAAAAGGGAAAGAGAGTACTTGAATACCCCGCCCCAGTCTGGAGTTATGCTTCAACCTGGAAGTTAGATTTATTACTGCCTCTCACAGCTAGTTGTGAGACCTAGTCAAAATGGCTTCACCCATCTTCCAAGAGGCCAGGAAGCACATGGATACTAAACACAGTATTGGCAAACAAAAAACAACTCAACCACATGTCAACATCAGTATGTCTACAGTGGTGAGTCCTCCTGAAAAATCCCCTCAGTCTTTGGTGGGGACAACTGAGTTTTGAGGATTCAACTAGAAGAAAGTGTGCAGACTTCTGTGTGCATCCCTGTCCTAGTAACAAAATAGCTTAGGATCTTCAGAAATAGCTGATGGAGATAGACAACGGTGATCAATGATCCAAACTGGAATGAGATCGTTGGTCCACCTGTGCTGACTGGAGGTCACAAAGGTCCCTGGAGCTGTCCCTACGGTCCCCATTACCCCTTAATGCCCCATGGTTCCCACCAACAGGACACGAACAAGCAGGTGCACAGTCTTAAGAAGTTTGAACAAGGTAAGTACAAAAGCACATATTAACAGAAAGACACACTTTTGTTTAAATGCCAAGTCCTCTACTCCACTTGAAACACACTGGAATTTTATTAAGCAGTTTTGGAGAGATGGGCTGACCTTTTTTTTTTTTTTAATGGTAGGCTAAGAAGAAGTCATAGTCCTCAGTGGTATACGCACTTGTGCATTGATCTTACTCAGGCAAATAATCTCTCACCATGCTCATTCAGGTAATCCTAATTAAGTTCAGCGGGTCACCCAAAAACAGAGGGACGGGGGGGGGGGGGGCTTTGATCAAACAGCAGTACACTTGTGTATACGTTAATGAAGAAGGAAGTTGCCGTCAGCATGGACTCCCACCAGCTATGGATAAGAGTGGGTATTTTGCAGAGATCTGATGGGTGAATTGGATGTTCTTCTATTATGAGCTCAATGTGTCTATGTGTGTGTCTTGAGACAGGGTCTTGCTGTGTAGCCCAGGCTGCCCTTGAACTCTCCATCCTCTTGGCTCAGTCTCCCAAATGGGAGTACCAGCATGAATTCTACTACACCTGGCTTTGATTTATAAGTTTAATTAACAGATTTAAATATTTTTGCTATCACTCATGCTTTCCCCCATTACTCTCGTGCCAGCTCTTTTTTCTTGTTTCGTAATAACCTTTCACACAAAAATAAGATGACTTAGAACAGTTTTAAATTAAACAAATTATTAGTGTGTGAGCATGGAGGAGTGCATCTCACTGTGTGTGTTGTGCTGTGGGGGTGGTCAGAGGACAAATCTGTGGAGTCAGTTCTCCCTTCCAACTTCATATCTGGTGCAGGGATCAAAGCCAGGTTGGCCGGCTTGCAGGGCAGGTGTCTTTACCTGCAGAGCACCTTACTGGCCCCCTCTGTGACCTTTATCACAGATGTCTTCCTAGCATGACTGACACCTCAAAGTGCCAGTATTTCTCTAGACAAACACCCAACTCTTTTACCTTTAGACCCATTTCTAAGCATTTCTTTCTGGCAAGTCCTTATCTCAAGAGCCAAGGCCTACCTGATTGTGAAATGTATGTGGAATTTATTCTGCTATATGGGGAAGCCGGGGATTACCTTTAGTTTTTCCCACATGGCTGGTCCTCACATCATTTATTGCCTAATCTCCCTTTCTCCATGGATCTTCCCCACAGCTAGCTTCTTATCTCGGTCATGTCTGAGACATTCCGTTCTATTGCCCCATCTCTTCGTGGTCTCTTTTGTCACCAAAGCTTTATGATATCTCATCTTTCGCTTCTGCCCCAGTGATAGACTACCTTAAAAGTACTCTCTCCAAATCTTCTGGGCTGGATCAAGCTACCAGAATTTTCTTAAAAGGAACATTCCAGGCTACTGCAGCTCTGCTCTGTATAGAATTCCTGTTGACCAGAAGCTTCAGGATCACCTTACCATGATAATGGGTTACAGCCTGCCTTCCAGAAACTGCTCATCCTGACTGGGTGCTTTGAGATGGAGAGGGCTACAGCCTGCCTTCCAGAAACTGCTCATCCTGACTGGGTGCTTTGAGATGGAGAGGGCAGCAAGAGCAGAGTACAGGAAGAAGTCCAACCTTGCAAGGCCATGTTGGTTCAAAAGCAATTTGTGCAGTCGTCCTCCTTTTAGAAGACAAATCCTTTGGTACTGGCCTGAAAGGACTGATTCTCATGTAGATCTCTTCACTGTGGCCAGGCAGAGGAAGGCCCATATATGAGACTAGGAACAGGTTCTACTCACTACTTTCTCAGTGAGTTACCTTGAGTGTACTGCTGCCACACTGTCGGCAAAACGAAGTTTCTATCCTGGGCATCATCTAGCCCTAAGGCAAGTTGCAGGCAGCTCTATCTGAATCTCGAGGCAAAATCCTCCAAGCTTGCCTTTGTTTCCCTTCCAAGAGTGTTTGTCAGAGCTCCTCAGTAGCACCACATCCAGGCACTCCTGCATTTGCTGAGCTTCCTTGGTTTGTGATCCATCCTTTCAAGATGGGCCTCCAAAGCATGAAGCAGATTAAAAGCGATGTCTGTACAAGATGAGAAGAAAATTGGGGATTTCTTTTCTCCCTTCCTGTCATTAGTTTAACTTCAACTGATTTAAACATTTGCTACACTTTCCCTGGAAACTGAAGAGTTTGATTTGGAACACTGTTGCCGGGTGAAAACTCTGCTGAGTCTATGAAGCAAAAACATGGCTGCTGATGAGCGGGCCGACTTCACATAAGTCAGAGGAATTGCAAACCTTGGGAGAGAATGAGCAATTCTAGAATGTTTCCAGTTGCTCTAAATCCAGCTTTGCTTTGGTTCGTTAGATTCAAGGGTGGCTCAGAAAGTTTCCTCAAGGAAGCACAGAAAATATTCCCTCCACACAGTCTATTTTCCGATCTAGAACAAATGGGTAGCAACAACAAATTTCCTAGATCAACTCTGGAAACTTCTGGTGATGGCAACTTTTGGTTCTTTCCTCTAGCAGAAAAAAAAAAGAAAGGAAGGAAGGAAGGAAGACGATAAAAAGACAGAAACCAACCAATTCGTGCCACAGAGAACAGTGTAACCCCTAAATATCCTCCTCCTTTATTCAAATAGTAGCAATAGCCTCTGAGGTCTCTGTGGTTGCCTTGTGCTTGTCGTGTCTCTGGTGTATTTTGGGAGAGCCCAGGAAAGACTACAGAATCTCCTTGGTCCTCATTAGAAATTCCAATTTTACAGCATTAATTGGCATTTTTCAAACACTAAGAGCCCAGCTTGAAGCCTACAAATAAAACCAGGCCCAGATGCTGTGCTTTCACCGGCATGCATTTAACACTTCGTAAGCAGTTCATTAAACTGATACCACTTTAAACAGTAACACAGGCTCTTTCACAACCCCCCCCCCCCCAGCCTGCAACTGTCTCCAGACACCCAGGAAATGCTGCCTGGGTGAGAACCGTAAGAATCTACCTTTATGGTGAGTGTCTCTTAATTAGGGGCACCCTGGCCCCTGGCTTTCTCACAGAGGCCTGCCTGAGGTCTCCACGCCCCAGTGACCAAGGACCCTGGCACAAGTAAGGCTAGAAAGCAGGTGTACCAGAGATATGATGGGGACCCATTCTTAGATGCAGGCTGGAAGAGTGTGGGGGTGGGTGGGTGGGAGTGAGGTCACCCCGTGCCCTCTGCAAGCAGGAAGCACGCACAGCTGAGCAGCCTCACCTCGAGAATCCCGGCTTTGCTTTTCCAAGGGTCAATCTGTCATTTTTAAGGGAATTAGGGAGAATGTTCAACCACTCTCCAAGGATGACTCTCTCCCCTGCTCAGGTTTCATCTAAAACAAGAAGACTCTGGCCCAGCATGGGCCCCTCCCCTTGCCATAATCCTCTGGGACCTGGGACAGGAACACAGTTAGAGCAGCAGCAGCTGGAGGAGGCTTGGGGGGGAGGGCACCGGTGTTAAACCTCCCACTCTGGTCCCTCTACAGAAGAAGCAGTACAAGGGTTGACCTGCACTGGGTCATTTGCATAGTGCCACGCTGGGGACAGAAATGTGGGTGTTCATTCCACAACCATCCACCGAACGAGGGGGTGGGGGGGATGAACATTGTCCTTTCTGGGTGACAGATAGATAGTGAGGCTGGCTTTGTGGAAATCAATACCGCAGACAATGACCTGCCCGAGCATTAAACAAACACACAGCACCGTGCTGAGAAAGCGTTCTTGGTCCGCAGAAGCACTGGCTCCTTCAAACCTGTGGGCTACTCGGGGCGCTTTTACCCACTTTTTGAAAAGGACAAAATGACGTCAGTAGGACATGGCTGAATTAGAGCTCGAGTCTGTCTGGTGGTGGACAACTGGCACACTAAGTCTCAGTCTGAGGAAATGAGAAGTGTATGGATGTTGGATTCTTATCGCAAAGGGGGGAAATCCTGGGACTGCACCCTAGCTTTCTCTAACCTCCGCCCTGGAGATGATGGGTAACTGATGGGTAACCGATGGATAATTGATGGATAACTGACCAGCTGCTCATTAACCACAGTGGGGCTGCAGTGAGGCCCGAGGCCATGACCCCAGTGGTCACAGAGATGGAAACTGAACATCATCCCACTGGAGCTTGAAGTCCTAAGCCAGGTTCCCAGAGACACAGCTCTCTTGGCTGGGAACTGCGAGGATCTTCGGCCGGGTGCACGGCGCCATCTCGTGGCCAGAACGGGTAGAGCAGTAGGGCCAAACCTCCACTCTTCCCAGGGAACCAGCTGGGATCAGTGGGGCATCCCATAGAGTATGGCCCCAGTCTATAGCTAAGGAATTTGGAAGCATGGTGGCTACATCAGTCAAGGAAATGGGCCAATTAGGTCTTGCTTAGCAGACAGCTTCCATCAGCCCTGGGCTTTTGGGCTGGATAGTGTTTCTCTACTGTGCACCTGGTTTGTCACCCAGAACCCAACAGATAGTAAAGGGAGCTGAGAATCCCCTGACCCGGAACACAGACAGGCTAAGGCTCTAACCTCCTCCATCCATTTACTCAGTCAACAAACTGTGCCGGGCACCTACGGTGCATCCTCAGGTCGGGAGGTGTGAACCGATGATAAGTAAGAGAAGAAGAGATAACTTGTCATTAGATGACCGATGATAAGTAAGAGAAGAAGAGATAACTTGTCATTAGATGATCCCCACTGCCAATCTGGTAAGCCCCGAGTTACTCAGAATGTTTGGGGGGAAAAAAGCATTTTAAAGACAGGAGGAATGCAAAGCACACCCACGATACTCAGTAGAGTTTTCAAATGTTTCTAAATTGCGAAACAGGCATATATGTTCTTTTTTAGAATGTGAGTTAACGAGATCTGAGGATGCGTCTGTTAACTACAGTCATCTCAAAATAGTTGTGAGTCCAGATGATGTTTTGAGATAAGTGCCTCAACTGTAATATGACAGGAAAGTAGCTGTAATTTCTGTTGGAGGAAAGAAAACATCTCAGGCGCTGCTAATACCCCAGGGCACTCTGCCTAGATTTATAATCGAATCAAATGTTAAACTTCAGCTAGGGGTGAGTGAAAAGAATGATGCCGCGTTTTTTTCTGTTCAAGTTCACAGGGCCTCCTCCCTTTCTCTGTCTCTGCAAGCCTCCTTGGTTAAGAAGCCTGGTAGGACCAGGCATGGCGGTGCAAGCTTGAAACCCCAGTCCTCTGGAGGATTGCAAAGTCGGGTAATCTAGTGACTCGGTCACAAAAAGAAAGCACAAAGTGTCTGTGGCGGGATATATATCAGTGACGGAATGGGGACCTAAAGTAGGAGGCCCTGGAGTCAATTCCCAGAACTGCAGGGGGATGGGGGGGAAGAAGGGAAGGAAGAGGAGGAAGAAGAGGGGAAGAGGAGGAGAGGAGGATGGGGAGGAAGAGAGAAGAGGAGGAGGAAAGAAGAGGAAGAGAGAGGAGGAAGTCTGGATGCCACCTGGGAAATGAGCAGACATGCACACAAGGTAGGGGTAGTGCCACGTGCCTGAGCGACATCAAGTTAGACACTGGCAGTGACACCAACAGGGAAGGCTTGCGTTACTGCATTTGACTTTAAGAAGTCCCTGCAGGGTACCACATGGCTCCCCAGTGGGCCCTGTTCAGCATAGGATCTCTACTGTCTTTCTGCAAGCCTGAGTTAAAGGCCCTAAGCTCATACAGTGATGTGTCCCCCAGTCAGTCAGACCCATTGACATCCCAACTTGGGCCCTTCAAGGCACCATGATGCAGCTTTGCCACCCATATTTTCCAGGGCTACTTCTGGGGCAACCCAGTGCAGTCCAGGGCAATGTCCACCCCCCTCCTCAAGTTTAACCCCACCTAAAGGTCACTGCCTAGCTCCTCATGGGGGCCAGGCTCCTTCTAGTATGAAGTTCCCCTTACCTTCCTGGTCTGTGACCAGGTTTCCTATCAGCTGTGGCCCCTCTAAGTCAGGGGCTGGGGAAGGTCCCTCTTGTCTCCTCCCCAGAGGAGTTCCAGCCCAGCCACAGTGCCACAACACCATGCCGCAGGCCGTGCCACAGGCCGTGCAGAGATGATTGGTGAGAGCAGAGAGCAATGAGAGGCAGCCTTTGTAGCTGCATAGAAACCGGTGTGACAGGCTTGCAGGATGATGTCAGTGCTGGCAGCAGCAAAGAACAACTCTGTTGACAAGAAGATTAATTAGACAAACGCAGTGCCAGTCAGCCTCTGCCGCCATCTCCTCCTCAGAGGTCAGCTCCACTCAGGCCCCAGCTAGAGATTCTTTTTTCATCTTTTTAAAAGAAAACTTAATCTCCTAACAAGACAGCCCCAAAACAATTCATGGCGTGCCAGCAGAGCGAGTACACACAAGCATGCTCTGCAGGGGTTCCGGGAACCCACCGGGGCCTCCCTTCTACCTGTCCAGACAGATGCAGCTCGGGGAAGAATGCTCGCCTCTTCAGGGCCCGTCCTCATCACAGAGGACGCTCATGGTGGGATAGCTGTGGCTTCTCGATGCTCTTCCGAGGCGCTCCTCTTCTCATAGACAGGGTGGGCAACCCGCCACGTCAGGTCTTAGAGTTTGGGAGCTCCCCCCTCTTAGTAACCCCTTTCTCTCAAATATCCTCTTTCTCCAGAAAGTGCCTGCTCCCATTGTCCCCTGATGGGAAGAGAAAAATCAGCCACTGATTGTGAGAGTGGCCTCTCTTACTACCCAGCAAGACTTTCCTGAGCATTTCACATCCTAGCAGACCCAAGGACAAACAGATCTCAGCATCACAGACTGTCGCCTTAGAAGGGCTTCCATCCAGGAGGAGGGGACCAAAAGCCCAATGAAGTTCATGCCCGTTTGTGGGAAAAGATCCAAGAATAATGGATTGTGGTAGAGGCAACCGGAAGGTGGCAGCCATTTTGGAAAAGTTGTCTCCGAAGAAGGAAGTGAAAACAGAGTTGAGACCTGAGGAGGAATTCCGGGAGGCTGTCTGGAGGAGCTGCCTCAAAGCCACAGTGGCAGGGACAGGAAGGGAACAGTGCCCAGGAAGGAAGCGCTTTGTAAATGTCTATATATTGCAAGAATAAAAGATTATTTCTAAATTGTGTTTCTCACACATAGCATAACACTGGAAGTCCCATGTGGCGTTGGGACTGCTAAAATGTAGATTTCTGCCTCTGCTGACTCTAAAGGGTGGCGCGGGGCCCAGAAAATGCCATTTAGCAGATTTCCTATCCCATAAGCACCCCCTTTCATAATGAGCTCCTTCTCATGCCCCATCTCCAAGCCGGCCACTGGGCCCCAAACTGCTGCTGTCTGACTGGAGGGAGGCCAAAGTCAAAGCAGCCGGGTGGCTGAGAGGCAAGCCTGCCCAAGGTCTACCCCTTGTAGACATCTGCCAAGGTCCCCGGGGTGACAGCCCCTGCACACTCTATGGCCCTCGGAGACTCGGCCTGCTGTAGTCAGCTGCGGTCCCGCACTCCCGTGCTCCAGGTCTGTCACAGGTGAGTCCCAGCCAGGTGACAGCACACATGAACTTGAGTCCTTGGGGCCTGTAGGATCCCGCAGGGGTCGCGGCTATCAACGAAGAGCACCAGATCGTAGGACAGGTGGCGCCAGCAGAGATAGGGACTGTGCGGGTTCTTGGGGCCTTGCCTGCCTGTGGGGGACCCCAGACCAGGCACCCATATAACCTTAGGTCTGTGTGCCTCTTCCTGGCTCCCTTCAGTATCCTGCAGGTCAGCCTAGTGTGAGTGTGGCGGGAGGGAAGCTGCGCATTGCTGTGGTAAGGTCATGGGGAGGAAACTTAAGGAAGGAAATGAAAGGGTTAGCTTGACTCAGTCTGAGGGGACACAGTCCTTCCTGGTGGGGAAGGCCTGCAGCAGAGTAAGGACAGTGTCACATTGCCACAGCCAGGACACAGAGAGAGATAAACGCAGGTGCTCAGCTTGCCTTCTCTTCTCGACTCTGTCTGAGATGCCAGCCCCCGGGTCCTGCCACACACTTTCAATGTGGATCTCCCCACTTCTAAGACATGAACTTAGAAAGGGGCCGCATAAGGAGTTCTGTGCCCTGTCCTGAGCCTGCCACCAGCATGTGACCGCGGGCCACACCTTCCCTCTCCAGGCCTTCATCAGGCAGAGACCCGGGGTTTTAAAACTGACCCGGGGAAGCAAGACTCCATGGATGGCTACTCGAGTCACGAAAGAAGGCAAGTGCAGATTAGGGAATGTGCTGCTTTGGGTAACGGAGGCCTGTGCTGCCCGGTGGGGTTCCAACAAGAGACTTTAGCCGACTTGAATTCTTTCTGGGAAGGGAGGTGCTGATAAAACTCCGTGTCCTGATCTCTGCTGCCCTCTGCTGCCCACGGCTGGGACACACGCAGCACGGAGATGGGGAACCTGCTGCTCACAATGGGCAGGCTTCCTTTGCTGCACAGAATCAGCCCCACTGATTCCTCCGCCCCCAGGAGTGAGTTACTTTTGTACAGACAGCAATGTGTGCCTCCCTGGAACTTTTATCCAGGGGAAGATGGAGCTCACTTTAAATGAATTGACGTAATCAAACAAGCCGTGACTGTAGCGTGCGGAGATGCTCTGGCACACAGCAGGGTGTGAACAGAGTGGATCCCAGACAACATGAGGACTCCCCATGTTCACCCTTTCCAGATGAGCTGCAGTCCTGTGAGACACAGAGACTGGGGCTGGTAGCCGAGTCTTTTACAGCTAGAGTTATATCGTTTCATTACGAGATGATTTTATTGATGAACTTTCTATAGGTTTTAAGACTGAGTCCCATATTCAGAACACATAGGATGAGGGAGGAAGTAGTAGTAGGGATAGTAGTGGTGGTGGTAGCGGTTATATCAGTTAGGGGCAGGGACAGTGCACCTAGAAGCTGAGCCCCAGTCAAGGAGAACAGACGGCCTTGGAGGTTGGAAGCAGGAGAAGGGCGACGGAGGGACACTTACACGCTTGCTCTAGAAGTGGAAGATGCATCTGATGCTTGGGTTGGGCGGGTGACTGCTAGAGCCCTTTACTAGACAGTAAGAAGGGACAAGCCAGGAACAGAAGGAGAGGCAGGGACTACACACGAGTGTCCATTTCCTTTCTCATCTCTGTAGGCTGCTCCATGCCCTTAAGTGGACCCTGTGGTCGAGAAGATCCCTGGGAGGGACTTTTCTTAATAATAACGTGACTATTTTAAGAAGATAGTAGCAATATTCTTGAACTTTATTTTGGTGTTTTTGTCACTGTGAAAGAAAGTCCTGACATAAAAACAGGTTAAGGAAGAGAGTTTCTTCTGGCTCACAGGTTCTGTGATTTCAGTCCATGGTTATCTAGTTCCACTGCTTAGGCAGGTGGAGGCAGAATGGAAGGGCAGCAGGAGACTTTGCAGAGGCTGCTTACGTCATGGTGCTCAGGAGGCAGAGAAAGGACACTGTCCCCTGCCTGCGCCATGGTGCTAGCTACATTAGGGCTCACCTTCCACCCTTAGTCAATCCTCTAGAAACACCAACAGACACATCCAAAAATGTATTTTACTAATTCCCAAGTGCCTCAATCCAGTCAAACTGACATGAAGATTAGCTATCAGAGATTGTCTGTGCTCTTGTAAAGTCCCAAGGACCAGGATGGCATTACCTTGGGACTTGGACACTCAGGGCAGAAGGAAGGAAGACAGGGCTCTATGTGGGTAGAGACTAACCCAAGAGGAGCAAGGAGATGGTGTTAGTGTGAACACTGGTGGGCCAGAGTCAGCTGGGGCCCTGAAGGGGAGCCATGGGCCTGGGCGGTGGCTCTGGCTGCCTATTGGACTAGATGTGTGAGGGGTTCACATGAACAGCAAGGACTAATGACTTTTTTATGAGACAGGGTTACACTCAATGGCCCAGGTTAGCATGGAACTCACTCTCTAGCCTAGGATGACTTCAAATTCACAATAATCCCCCAGCCTCAGCCTTCCTAATGCAGGAGATGTAGGTATAAGTACCATGCTGGGCTTCAAAGATTGCTTTCTACACACTGTGGTAGTAAGGACCCAGGGCTGTGTGCCAGCTCCATGTTCTACAATAATCCTGGCCCCAGGGCTCAGCACTGGGGTTAATGGTGCCTTCTATAAGCTCTGGTGACACGGAGCAGGGAAAGAAGTAGGGAGAGCCTGCTCTAAGGTTGAAGAGTCCAGGGACAGGGCTCCTTGAATCAGATGGAGCCAGTATTTTCTAGAGGAGCAAGGCATACCTCTAAGCACCCACAGAGATGTGGGCACCAAGAACAACCATAAAACAGTCCTTCCTAGTCTTGTGATGTCTAACACTGATTGGCAGCTAGACAGGATCCAGGAGAAAAAATTCTGGGCATGACTGTGAGGAAGTTTCAGACAGGGCTAATTCAGATGGAAAGACCCACACTGAGCAGAGCCACTCCATGGGTTTGGGGTTCTGAACTGAATTAAAAAACAATTAGCTTAGCACCAGCATTCACCCCTGCTTCCCAACTACAGATGCAATCTGGCTGCTTAAGCGCCTGCTACTAAAACTCCCCCACCATGATGGACAGTACCCTCCAAATGCCTGCCAAAACAAACTTCCTTCCTTCCTCAAGTTGCTTTGGTCAGGTATCCTGTAACAAAACGAAGACAATCTGCTTGTAGAATTTTTCTTTTCATTCTATGAGAAGATGCAGAGGTACAGCTCAAGTTGGGAAGTCTCAAGTCAGCAAGGGACAGGAGGAGGACTTGATGACAGACAGCTGTCCTATCTCTCATCCCTGACATGGGTCCAAAGTGTGAGCCAGGACGTCTGTAGACCTTTTGCAAGGAAAATGGTCTTCTCCAAGCCACGGTGGCCTTCGACTACTGAGGCAGCCACCAGCCCTTGGTCATCATCGTGCTGATGGGAATAAAGGAAAGTAACAAGAAAACAAAGAAAATTTTCATCAGAGCTGCATGTGAAGATAATTTGATGAGGGAACTATATAAACCTCAGAAGTCTTAAGGTGTAGCCCTCATGACTTTAGCTGAGCAAATAAAAACCAGTACAGTACAGGTGGCCAGGAGTAGAAGCCCACATGTGCTCAGAATATACAGGGACGGCAAGTTTGCCCAGTGTTAGCATCCTTTGCGCCTCCGATTATGGCAGCAAAGGGATGCAAGACGAAGCCTGGTGTCTATGCTTTCTGACTTTTATGATCACAGAAGGCACAGATTGTCCATGCAAGGCTGATCTTGGCTCAGAGATGTATTTTGTTTGGCTTGCACTGGACTCTTTTTACTCGAGCCAGTATTTAAAAATCTGATATAGCGCACCATCCTTTGAACTTCTAGCCCCCTTTGAAGGATCAAAAGATCTGACACCAGGGGTCTCCAACTTTTCTGTGCTGTCAGCTGGAGCAGAGTGGCTGCTGCTGGCCTTCTTTCCAGGGCCCAGGAATTATCCCTCACACAAGAGGGGAAGAGGTGCTGCATCTTTGCATGTCCCGCACGCCAGGGCTGCTCTCCTCTGCAAGTCCTTGATCTTCTCATTGGCTGTGGCACCTTTGAATCATAGCTGTCCGTAAAAGGAAGAGTTTGGGCCCATTGAAACCTTGTGTGCACCTTAATCAGGCAACAGAAATAGAGTTCATAGTTCTGAGTGATATGAGCCAAGGCTTCAAAGAAACTGATTCCAAGACATAGAAGTCATGGCTGTCACAGTCAGGACATAGAGGGGTACTTGCATACAACTCCTCCACTTCCTCCCACAGATTTTCTTTTGTTTGTTTGTGTGTGTGTGTGTGTGTGTGTGTGTGTGTGTGTGTGTGTGTGTGTAGAGGCCAGAGGTATGGGTACATGTGCACATATATGTGCATGCATGTGGAGACCTGAGGTGAATGTTAGGTATCGTCTTCAAATGACCCTCACCATGTTTTTCTTTTGGGCAGTATCCTCACTGAACTTGAAGCTTACCCATTTAGCTGGACTGGCTGGCCAGCACGCTGGAGATGCTCCTGTCTCCACCTCTTCAGTGCTGGGATTACAGGTGTGCACTGCTGCACTTGCGGTTTTAAAGTGTAGATTCTAGTGCCCTAACTCCAGGTCCCATACTTGTCCCACAGTACTTTGC